TCAATTAAGTTGGAGTTCTAGATACCCAGACTGGGTGGCGATAGGATTTGGTAATACCGTACAAGCTTTGAGAATGTGACGGACAATAATTACAATAACTTCACACTGCTACATTTAATATAAATCATTCAAAATAATACTATGATACATCCATTTAACCAATTATGTACAGAGAAGGGATCAGAAATAATGCAACAAATATTATGTATTTATGATATATAAAAAATGTCATAATTGTCACTTATGCATTCAAATTTTTTTATATAATTGATAAGCATATTAACAATATTATGAAAATAAATATATTTTGTTGTGTTAATTTGGTCCCTTCCTGTATCTATCAAATCAATAAATCATGCTCAATTCACGATTGGCACATTGATCTATAGATCATGCCATAAATCTTTAAATAGAAGCATGCTGATAATTACAACGGTGCTATCGTATTAAATATCGCATAGTTGTTTCAATATAATTGTCATATTGTTTTTCTTAGAATGCGCCCGCTGGTTAAACATGCAATAAATACCGTTTAGCACTACATACAGTATTCGGGGTTTTATTCAAGAACTTCATTAGGAGTACTATTCACGAATCCAGGGGTACTTTATGTAGTATGATATTATTTTCGGGGGATCTGCATGCAGTGCTAAATGGTAAGTAAAAAAACAATAACATATGCGTAAGTACAAATATTTCCTTTTTATTGTTATCATTTTGGCTTTTCCACTTTAATAAATATACGTACGTACAAATTTTTATTTTTTTTTTTATGTAGGTAGATAACAATAATTATTACCGCATTTCGCCACATAAAGTTGACAATACCCCATTGATATGTATGTATGTCACAAGGTCTATTACTTGTATATTTTGTAAAAGGCCCGGATATACTAAACAGGATTTTATAAACGACATATAAAAAAATTGGTTTCATAATATATAACTCCCGTACAAGACCCTCGGCATAGTATATCCTCCAGGTTTCAATATTAGGCTTCAATATTCCAAAACTAAGAACTTTACCATCCCTACGTATTAGCTACTACAATTAGAGTTGCGTTTGTATATCAATTATAATAAAACTGATTTATCAACGGAGCCGATAAGCCAATTTGCGTCTTTAGTTACAAAGTTTAATTAACGATTATTTTATGTGATCAAATTTATTAAAATTTAATTTTCGCAACACAACTTTACAGCTACCAAACCATATTTGTTTTTATATGGCCTCCTTGATGGGTCCGTATTATTTCACCGACAATCACTTCACCGACAGCTACATTAGTAAAAATATATATATTCCTGCAACCTATCAAATGCTTAACCCTAACCCTATGTGATGTAGCATTCGGTGAAATGACTGTCGGTGAATTGATCGGAACCGCTCCCCGCTCCCGGATTGCGTAATGTAGATATACAATAAAAAGCAATTCTCTAATCGTTAAAGCATTAAAATTTATTATAGTATTATGAAAGTAAAAACCTTGATCTTGTCATCTCATTCCACAGCAAAATTATCTGACTGCTGGTTTTCTTGTTCGCTCTGATATTCCAATTGATTAAAAATACCTACCTCTAACTGATATTGATAATCTGCTAGTTTTTCTTCGTATTTATTAATCATTAACCCAGCTGTGACACTTGTATTAGTGTTCCGCAAAGTCGGTTCCGGGCGGGTTTAATTAAGAACCGTGCCAGACCCGTCACGTGAAACCGAGTCTTTA